AAAAAATTAATTTTTAAAATCACTTCCAAACAGACTCTGAATAAGTATGAAAATATAGACTAACATATAATAATTTGAACTACGTACTATTATTGAAAAAATTAACCTTTTAAGATGAAATTTCAAGTTTTTACCTCGTTTGGCCCCCCTTTTTGGAAACGAGGGCGGAAGAGTGTTTTTTGAATGACTAATTGAAAAAGAAGGAAATTTTTTTTATTTACGTATAATATTATTTTATGAAAAATTATGTGATTGAAAATATGAGAAAGAAAAATGGAATGGAATGAAATTATTTATGAGTACCAAACGGATGGTATCAGAACTTGTTAAGTTCAAAGAGCAATTCGATCAAATTAAGACTCAAAAAAAGCACATGAATTTTAAGATTGATTTGTTTAAATAAGTCACCATCTTATGATGATATATTAAGAGATAAGTCACACATCGAAGAAAGATAAAAATATAAACAAATATATAAGTATTTGAACTATTCATTTTAACAAGATTAAAGAAGCAACAAGTCTTAGCCTCGTTTTGTGGCCTTTTTTTAATATTATTCTGAATAGTGAATTTTTGAAAATTACGTGATTAAAAAGTAGCAAAATTTATTTTGAATTACTGTGTAAAATATTTAGCCCATATTTGAGTCACATTATAAGAAAAAAATGTATTATTCATGTCAAATCAATGAAAAATATGTGGATAAAAAATAAAGAAAAATTTTAAATTTACGTATAATATTATTTTATTAAAGAATATGTGATTAAAATGATCTCAAATCATTATTAAAGAATATATTTTTTTTAAGAATAACGTGGCTTAATCAAGCACTTAATCGCGTGAATGTACAATTAAAATGAGTATATAAAATAAAAATTAATTTTGAAAGAGTGGTACTCATGCCCGCTTTCTTCTCGTTAACAGCTGCAAAAAGTCTAGTCCACCTTTCAGGCTTTCACTCTAGTATCTACTGTCTAAAAAGTAAAACACCAAAATCTCCTTCACACACTCATATTCCACCTACGCAGCCCCCACTGCTCCACCACCGTCAAGGTACAAGCAAACAAGCATGGGATTTCAGCTTGAAGTAGGGCAACATTCTACAGTACCTAAGCTTCCACTCTTCTCCAAAACAGTACCACCCATGATGCAGTCACCTGACCATACAGGGATGCTAACACCACCGCTGTACACTTTAGCTTCAGTTCCATTTCAATGGGAGGAGGAGCCTGGGAAGCCTAGACCATGCACCGCTCTCATCGCACTCCCTAACCCTAAAAAAACTGAAACAAAGTGCTTAGAGCTTCCACCAAGACTGTTCATGGAATCCACGACTAAAATTACCAAAACACCCTCTCCCACCACAGTCTTGGATGGGCCTTATGTGGGCAGGTCCAAGCTCTCTTCTTCTTCATTCAGATCTCTCATGGAGGGTAAATTGTCTTTTGACAGTACTAGTAGCAGAAGCCCTGAGAAAGGGCAGCTTAGAACTGTTGTACTTTGCAATAAAGGACACAAAAGAAGAGGTTTATTTGATTCTTGGGGAAAAAAGAATCTCAAACTTAAGGGTCAGAAGAAGGAAATTGGTGATGACAAT